CATGATAGTGTAGAATAATCCTATCCAAGGACCAGTGGTGGGTTTCAAAAAAGTTTGGAACCTCTTCTGTAGGTGTGGCCTGCTTTCTGGGTCCACTGGTGGAACCTCTTCTAACCTGTTCGGTAGATTTGATGAACCGGTTCTACCGAATAGGTGCGAACTGGTAGGAACCCACCTCTGTTGTGGGTGCCCTGGCAAAATAGCTGCCACAGCATGAGAGGCTACTCGCCGGGCGCTCTTTTTCCAGAAGGCAAATTGCCGAGGTTTCTCCCCACTGAACTTGTAGGTGGGAAGGGGAATGGAACAGCTGAGTAAGCACACAGATAGTTTCTGTTATTCCCCCTCCTCTGACACCTTTGCAGAAGCCCCAGTGACTCCAGTCTCAGAAGGTTCCAGAGGAACATCTGCAGTGGCACGCTTGCTCTCAGGCCTGTTCCTCTCCGCTTGCTGCAAGCGAGAGAGGAGTCATGGCGGTTAGTAGCATCTCCCTCCCAGCTGCCATTAGTTACCAACTCTGCACAGTGTTGTGCCCAACAGTCTTGTCACATTAAATATTAACTGGGCAGAGAAGGGAGTCGGCACTCCCCTCCCCTGTCTATCTGGGCAAAGGGAGAGATGGGGAGGGAAGATAAGAACAGCCGAGCTGGGAGATGAATGGTGTTGTGCTGCGCAAGAGCTGGGAAGGGCAGGTGTGAAGTCCAGACCTTGGGCTGGCAGATGCTGAAGCCGAGGGCCATGGATACAGTTGGCAGAAGGTTCGGACTAAGAGGTGAATGGAATGGAGAACATCTCTTTGGTTTTGAACCTGAAGCTGACTGAGGTTCTGCCAAAGCATTCCAGGTTGGCCACAGCGCCTCCTCCCCTCCCTCAGCTGCTGCCAGTTGGGTCTCAGGAGACATGGCCCTTTGGCTCATCTGCCCCCACTCCTGATCTCCCCAGCAGGCCTTCTTTTCTTCCTCCCTCCTCTGCTGCCTCTCTGTTAGCCTTTGAGTCTGTTCTTTCCTGCAGTGGTCTCGGCAGCCAGAAACCACACCCCAGCATGGTACATCCCACTGGATTACTCCCCTTTCCCGTCTCCTCGGTGTCCTGTCTCTGCTCAGCCACGGCTACCGATATGCGTAGACATCCTCGGGCTTCGATTCCCCCCCCCCCCCCAGAACTCTGCCCAGGCCAAGGACTTCTTTGTCAACATCCAGATGGTGACTTCCATTTCATTTATGGCACCCAGTCCCCCAGAAACTTAGGTTTAGGTTTGTTCAATTTATATGCCGCCCTTCTCCCAAGGACTCAGGGCGGCGAACTTGCCGACAAACTCTTCTTGCACCGTCCCTAATTCAGAGCTTGCAGAGTTAAAATACAATTTCCTTCTCCCTGAATCCTTTTGCCCTGAACTCAGCATTTCCTAACCCGATTTTGCAGCTTTTGAAGTGTGTATGCATGAGGCTGAGACGGGATGGGAAATAGAATAGCCATTTGGAAGAAGGGAG